GGAAACAGAGGTAGAGACGGACATGAAGAGAAGTAGAAAGTGGCAGAGCGACAGACTCAAAGAAAAGCCGGAGACATGGAGCGGGGTCTAAGGAGCAGGAGGAAAACAAAATAGAAAGTACAAAAGAAAATAGCAGGCACAGTCAGAAAAAGGAGAGTGGAGAGAGACGAGGGAGGGGAGACCAGCAATGGTGGCCGTTCATGTTCATGCGGCATGCAGGGCAGAGGTGTCCTCCTCCCCCAGCCGGGCACAGGGCCTCAGGGAGCTCGTGGGACCACGGGGTGCTGCTGGGAAGCTCAGAGCGCAGGTGTGAGGCCCCGTCCGGCTCTCCCACTAGGTCCCCACTGCTAGTCTTCCCACCTGTGCAGCCTCTCATAGACAGGAGGAGGGCAGAGCCAGGAGCAAGACAGAGCCCCAGCAGAGGCCCTGAAGGTTGGTCTGGGACCTGAGCCCTGGCAGCGGGGGTGGGATAAGTTGGGGGGACTGCCCTAACTGAGCAGTACCTTTGGATCCTGTAGGGGACCTCAGCCTCAGCACTGCACAGAAGGAGGCTGAGGGCCTCCTCCCAGCTTCAGGGCCTCTGTGCAAACGCTTCCAAAGTTTTGGCCTTCCCAGGTCCCTAAGGGTGATCTGAGGTGGGGCCTTGAGTCTGGAGGCGAGTAGAGCCCACGGCCTCAGCACAGGCCAGGCAGAGCTCCCAGCCCTGTCTGCAAGTCCCCAGCCTCTAATTCCTGGGCTGGAACTTCACTTCTAACTAACCCCTAAGGTCCTGCTCTCCACACGATCGACAGCTCTCTCACACTGGCCCTTTGCTTGGGAGGTTTGGGGAGCCTGGAAAGGAACAAATTCTTTCAGGGGTAGAGCCCCCAGGAGTGGCGAGTGTACGTATGGAGGGGTGGGAAAGGATCTTAGGGCCACCCCTGAGGTCCTGACCTGTAGTTGCCAGCACCCCGTTGTCCCTGGGAGGGCAGAGAGGATGACGTCGGAGGAGGCTTGCAGCCACTCTGGCCCTGCCTCTGCCTCTGCCTCCTCACGCCCTCTCCGGGGAGGACAGTGGCCTTCCACCTCCTCCCATTCTCCCATCCAGGAAGGTGAGGCCTGCGGCTCCTTCTGGGCCTCCCACTGGAGACCAGGCCCTTCAGTGCAGGGCAGTGCTGGGTGTGTCTCGTGCCAAAGGCCACCGAACTGAGCAGAGGACCACTGGCCTGGGTCAGAGACCTGGGCCGTGATTTTCTGTCTGCCCAGCAGGTGTGCGGCCGGCCGTGGGTGAGTCACCGCTGCTCTCCTGGCCTTGGCCTCTCCACCCGCTAGGTTGGCACTGGCCGGCTGTGCTTGTGACGCCGCGGCCCTCTGTCCTGTGCCCTTCCTCCCTAGATCGAATGCTCCAGCATCTCTGACTACTCGGAGAAGATCATCAAGGCCAACCACTTGGACAACAGTAAGACCTTCCCCGAGTCTCTCCCGGGGCTGGGAGGGCGAGGGAGCTTCCTAGTGCGGTGGCTCAGGCTGACACAGGAGGGCTGGGGACTTGGGGAGCTGGAGTGCCCAGTGGAGGGCCCTGACAGCAGGGCTGTGACCCTGGGACGCTGAGGGTCTCACCCCCACCGCGCCACCAGGGCTTCCATTCGTCCCATCTCAGCAGGCAGTGAGAATGGCCTGTGGCCACGTCCTTAGCTGCAGTGCCCGCCCTGTGAAATGGCAGCTCTTCTGACTCCCAGCTTCCCTCTCCACGGGCCCCAGCCCGGCCTCCCCCGGCCTCCCACCAAGTGGCATCCCAGCCACCCCCAGGCTGTGGTCCTCCATGCCCACAAGCCCTGCTCTGATGGGTCCATCTTGGCAACGAGTTTACACCGGAGAGTAGGATCTTCCCCAAGTCAGAGAGTGATGACAAAGAGGCGTGTGTCTCCCTGACCATCATCACGCTTTCCCCGCTGCCTTGCCCCGGGCTGCGGCATTCCCAGCCCCTTCTCTCTGGGACCCATCTTGAACACGCTCACATCTGCAGGGGCTCCTGACCAGAAGACCTGCTGGTGGCTTTTATCTGTCAGCAGGTTCAGGAACAGTCCCCAGGCCCGTGCTCAGTGTTGGGAAGAACCTTAAAGGAAGAGCCAGGACAGTCCTGAGGCCAGGGAGCTAGGCCGGGAGCACGAAGCACAGATGAACAGGGTGACGGGGAGGGGTGGTGCAGTGGGACTGAGCAGCTAAGAGCAGTCGGCCTGGGGAGGCGATTCTACGAAGACCCCTGTGCAGAGGTCCGAGGGTGGAAAGGATGGTCAGGGAGGCGGGGAAGGACGTTCTATGGAGTGATGGAGTGCTCTGGCCAGGGGCCGGTAGCTGGCCTGGGCAGTGGGAAGGAGTCTGGGAAGGGACCAGTTTGGGAAGCGAGGGCTCCTTCCCAGAGAGCTGGGAGCGGAGGCATCGTAAGCAGGCGCTGCAGAGTACAGCCAGCCCAGCCTGTCTCCCTGTGCCACATGACCCTCAGCCACATGGGTGAGGGCCTTGCCGTGGTCCCTGCAGACCTGCTGGGGCCCCCCCCGACCCCGTCTAGGGCCCTGCTGCCCAGACACCCCTTCAGCGTGGCCTGGGAAGCCAGGCATGGGGGCTACTCTTGACTCGCACGTGGCCTCAACCCCGTCACCTGTCCCTTTGCTGCTGACCCACTTGCTGCAGATTCCCAAAGGGCAGGAGTGTCGCTTACCGAGCACACACCTCTGCATGCCACTGGGAGCCAGGCTCTGAGGAGCACATGGGGGCGAGACAGGTGGATCCTGGCCTCATGGGTCTGCATTCCAGCGTGGTGCTCACACAGACAGACAAATCCCAGACGGTGATGGGCACGGTGGGGCGAGGGGACCTGGTGTCCTCGGAGAGAATCACATTTAAGCTCTGATTCGAATGACACAAGGAGCCAGCTGACAACGTGGGGCCTCAGGCAGAACTGAGCAGGCATGCCCAAGGAGCAGGAAGGCTGCAGCCAGAGCACAGAAGGCAGAGGAGGGCAGAGGGGGAGCTGGGGCCAGGTCGTGCAGGGCTTGTAAACTAGGAAAATAAGGCTGGATTTTGTGGCAGGGCCTTAGGTGGGTTTGCATCAAGGGAGCGGCCTCTGTGGAGACAGGGTTGGAAAGGGTCGCAGGGGGAAGAGTGTGTGCTAAAGACGAGGGCTGCGGAGGGAGGGGACCACTGTGGGATAGCTTGGAAATAGAGGCAGGAGGCTCTGCTGATGGATTGGATGGGGAATGAGGGAGAGGAGAGGAGCGAGGACTTGAACGGGTGGCCGGAGTGAGAAAGAAAGCAGGAGCTCTTCTCGCACACGTTGGGCTGAGAGGCCCCTTGGACACCCAGGTGGACGCGCCATGGAAGACGTGCATACAGAGCCTGGAGTTGCAGGTGGAGTCAGAGCTACCGCCGGGCGTCACCAGCAAACATGTTATTTAAAGCTGCAGGACGAGGTCACTCGGGGACAGCGTACAGCTAGAGGGAAAGACAGCCCGAAACAGGGCTCTAGTGCATGTCCAGACCTGGAGGTTGGGCAGGGACAGGCCAGCCACGAGGACGAGCAGATCGGCTCAAGGAAGCTAGCCATTCTGGAGCATGGACTCCCACGGACCCCGAGGAGGACGGAGTCAGCTGCAGGGCATGCTGAGGGGTCGTGACAGAGCGGTGACCTGGATGTGGCCACCTGGAGGTGACTGGTGCTCATAACAAGTCACACTCAGTGCGGGGCAGGGACAGAAGTCCGGCTAGAGGAGGTTAAGAAGAGACCGTGCTGTGAGGACCATCCGTAACTGCTCTGAGTGGCAGGGAACGACAGCACCAGTGGCTGCGGCGGATGGGGGCTCAAGGGTGGGAGCTTTTCGTCTTTGCTTTAGTTAAGACAGGAGACAAAACGCGTGTAAGACTCCATGGGGCAGTAGAGAGAATTTCAGGTACAAGAAAGGCAATTCGGGAGCAAAACCTGAGAGGGTGAGAGAGGGTGGGTTTAGAGCACAGGTGGAGTTCTCTATTCTGGAGTAGAGACCGTTCACCTGGAGAAACAGCAAGTAGGCAGTGAGGCCCAGGGAAGGGGCGCTGGGGAAGGCCCCAGTTATTGGTTCCATTTGCCAGAGGCAGAGCGAGACGGTTGCTGGCAGAGGAGAGGCGGAGGAGAGGGGAGGGAGGGCCTTGGGAGGGAGGGCAGCGGACGTGCTGAGGTGGCAGGACGGTGGGAGTGTCCAGTGCCTGTTAGCCGTGTGGACATGGCTGTGCCGTGTGCACCCCTGTGCCGTGTTCATCCGCACCGTGCACCCTGTCCCCACCGCAATGCGACTCTCACCGAGCTCAATGTTTTGTGCCCAGTGCAGTGGGAAGTCACCTGGGTCGGGCTTTGTCGGAAGGATGTCAGAGAGAGATGGAGGCCGGAAACTGAGGACAGCAATGGGCCATGGGGTCGAAGCTGGGTGAGGGGGGAGTGGGTGCAGAGGGATGGTGCCGAGATGTGGGGGCAATGGACCAGCAGCACCCTAGTGGCCTGAGTGGTGCCGAGCCCCGGAGGCCCAAGAGGGAAGTGTGGCTCTGCTCCCAGCCTCTGCCTCAGTGTCCAGTCGCTTTGGTTCACTCAGGGGAGCCAGGTCCCGTCCAGGGGCCTCTACCTGCCTAAAGGCGAAAGGAGGAAACCCATGGCTCTTCCTCTGAAGACTGACACAGCCTGGATCCACATGCCTCCTCCAGTGTCCTTCCCACGCTGTGAAAGAGGGCACGTGGTCGCCTGTTTAACAGATGTGGGCCGAGGCGAGGAGCGCCGGTGGCCGAGCTGGGGCAGCCCCCCTGGTCTCTGCTCCAGTTCACGTGCCCTTCTCCGCCCGTGTTTATGTTGCCGTGGAAACACCAGAAACGGCTGCTGATGCTTAAAGACCTTTGGTTGAGGGGAAGACAGGTCCACAGGGGTGCAGGATCAGGTTTTCTCTGGGGCCATGGAGGCCCATCTCTGAGCCCAGAGGAGCTTCCAAAGAATGTTTAGGCCAGTCTCCTGCCTCTGTAGGTTTCGTTTGTGAGAATTCCTGTTCTGGAACGGCCTGTCCAGCTTTCCACCCTCACAGCCTCTCCCTTCCTGCAGGGGCGCCCCAACGTGTACTTGGGACTCAGGAAGAGTGGTGTCCCCAGCTCTTTCACCCTCTCTGGCTTGCAGGGGGCCGTTCCTGCAGCCATCGGTGGCGGTGGCGTAGGGTGAGGTGGCGTAGCTAGCACCCGCTGACAAATCACCAGGTGGGCCTCTGAGGGGGTGGGCTCTGAGAGCTGGCTAGGGCAGGAATTGTCCAGCCCTCCCACTATTCGCACCCCCAGGGCTTGCCTCCTCTCTCCTGCTTCACACTCTCTAAGTAGTTGTTCCCCTCCCCACCTCCTGGCCCTCCTCTCCCCTTTTCTCTTCTTTCTTTTAACCTTTGAAGCACTCACGTTTACAAACAAAGTACAGTCACGGCACCACCACCACCCCCGCCATTGGAGAGCAGATTATTGGCAGGACACCCCAATATCCGGAGTATGTTAATACGCACAGCCAGTAAACAGGCACGCCTTCGACGTCGCCACGGCTCCCGTGCACTCACACCAGTGCCTAACGCTCAGATCCTAGTGCCCTTTGCCGGTTGGCACCGTGGGATCGTTTATGGCGGGACAGTTCCATTCAGACCCATGGGTCGTGGCGGGGCACCGTGGCTATCTCCCTTCACGCTGGGCCAGTCAGGCGTTCCTCGACTTCCCCAGGCGCGACACTCGGAAGGACCCAGGGCAGGTTTCGTAGCTGCCTCTATTTGGAACTGTGTGATGCTTCTTCATGATGGGGTTCAGTTACACTCCTTGGGCAGAAATATCACAGACGAGATGTCGTGAGTGGCTTTTTGCATGTCTTCTTGTCATGTCCTGTCACAGGGATGGTTTGCTTTGATCACTTGGTAAAGGTGGCGTCTGCATGCTTCTCCATCAGAGGTGCTCTTTCCTCCTTCACAGTCAGGAGAATGTTCCTGAGGGAAGTAGCAATACTTTGAAGACCTGCAACTCCTTCATTGCTCAGCAAATTTCCAGCTGTGCTTCTAGTCATTCGTTCTTCCGTTCATTCACTTCGTATGGGCCCCCGCTTTCTTTACTGGGCCGTGCCTGATAGCACCGACATTGAAAGCCAGACGGTACCCAGCTGGGACACAGGGCCCTTTGAGCTGCCTTCCGGCT